TTTGTTTGTTTGTTTGTTTGTTTGTTTGTTTGTTTGTTTGTTTGTTTGTTTGTTTGTTTGTTGCACTACCTCACAAAGGTTTTGTAAGCTCATTATAATTGTAGTGTTTTGTTTAAACTGTGTTGAATGAGACTTTTATTTAGAAATATCTATTTACCGAAACAGGACAAGTCACCACAAGTTATGCAAGTTGATGGTGATTTTGCGCGGGTGCATTTTTAACTATATTTCTTTAAATTATGTATATATACAGTATATATATCTCTACGCTCTGATATGTTTATGCCGAAGCTGAATTAAAGTAACTCCCATATAATGGTGAATGTGTGTTTAGTATAATAAACAGATGAATCTATTGCTAAACTGGCACAATAGTAATTAACATCTTTTGCAAGGGAATGCAAAAGAAAAAAAATCGCCTGATGTCCCCTGACAAGCACTGCACAATCCACCTTAAATTAAAATAACCTGCTGCTTTAAGGTAAATATTCACAGTACAGCTGTACAGCTGGTGTAGTTTCTCAGTTATCCAGAACGTAGTAAATTCAAAGGAAAACAAAAACTTCTCCTTCTTAAAAAGCTTTCTAACATGTATATAAAAGTTTTTAAAAAGTGTATTTAAAAAAAGCTTCATCTTGCTGTCACAGTGTGAAGGAAAGGTCTCTCACCGTCCATCTGTGGCGTCTCCAGCATTTCAACAGGGCTGCCTTGGATGAGGAACACCTCCACACGAGGAAACATAGCTGACAGACCCACCATGTCCAGGTAGTCCTGAGGGAAGACATGACAGTTTAGTCTGCTTAAAAAATAAAAGTCAATCTGGATTTATTCTTTTTAAACTCCCGTTTAACGTATTTCATAACAAATAATACCTCCAGCTGTGGCATTGGCTTTGGTAGATGTTCAAGGCACTGCAGCATCTGGTCAAGAATCTCAGATCCTGTGAAAACATGGAACAAAAACCATGAAATACACAGATGTTATCTGAGCCCTAATCATCCCACGTTACCCATACCTTGAGTCTGAAAGGTGTCGGACTCTTCTGGACTACAGCCTTGACCTAACTGTTCCTGGAACTGTAAAACAAGAAATACGCTTCATAAGATGAATAAAAATGAAAATGCACATAAATATGTTTCTACGTCAGGCTCCTAAACATTCGGTGTATTTTCTGCAGTGACTTTTTAAGTTGCTTTATAATGACACAATAAATGAAAACATAACAAATGTACTTCATGTATAAAAATGTTCATTTTGTTTAAAAGTAAAATTACTTTTATTTTAATTTTAATGGCAGCGGGCA